GAAACAGCTGCATAAGCTGAACTCAAGCCTCAAAACTGAAAATCTCTGAAACCARTTATCATTCAGCCCCTACTGAGCCCCTCCTTCTGAGTCATCACCACCTTTCAGCAGTTCCATGAAGTGTGGGTTCACCTCATCACTTGGGGTCATTCTCTGACAGCACAGTCAGCTACTGTAAGCCTGTGAAGCGAAATATTATCTTCCTCAGATCACATTTTTTGAAATAATGGTTCAGCAGTCAGAATGAAATCATCAAACAATAAGATCAGCCAAAGCAAAAGCAATAGATACTGGTGAGTGGCTTTGACCAATTGGCTAATAAAAGACACAACAATTTTATATTGCAAGTTTATTATAGTAATAGAATCAGATTAAATTATTTTCACAGCTAGTATACCTAATTATATCAGGCGATGCATATATACTTTATTTCAGCATGTTACAATCTTTAATCATGCGGTGAGTAATGTGCAAACACAATTACAGGGAAGATTTTTTCCCCCTAAAAAAGAGAAATCGAAATTACAAAAGTATGGCTTTATAAGAAAGTTGTATCATACAATGAACATTCATTTGTACTTGGGCATGGCAACATTCAGTCTTAGTAAGTGAACCACAGCATCTGTCACTGCCATGCTGATTCCAAAAATGCCAAGGGAACTGGGAACAGGGAAATGTCATCAATATTAGAGGTTGAAAATATATGTCTATACATTCAGAGCATGAAAAATATAAAAAATGTTTTCAGGGGTTAARTGTCACATTTCTTTGTATGCTGAARTCAGAATTATGGAGCCTKGAGAAACAAGTGCACAGTTTGTTTTCCTTYAGTCCAACAAGCATCAGTAGTGATAGAACTGATTTTAAAAGCATTACTTCAGGTGCAGGGAGATGTAACTGAGGTCAGAATCTGGCCTGTCCTTCCTGTTAATGATGCTGCAGAAATAGACAGAAGCATAGGATTAGGAAGACATAGGTGGCTGAATTTTGATGGCAGCCCAGAAAAAAAAGAAAGACAAAGAGGTCTTTTTAATAGATTTTATTTATTTTTTTTTAATTGTACTCTAGAATAAAGTGTGGCCAGCATCACAAACCCTTTTCTGGATGACTGCAGTTGCTGGCGAGCAGAAGCCCTTGTGCTTGTTGTTCACGGGTAGAACACTCATTTCAAGAGCAAAACTGCTGCYTCTTTACAGGAGAAGAAGAAATGTCCTTACCTGTCAGCAGCACAGAGGCTGGGACACACAAACTGACCCCGTGAAAASGCTGCTTCCGCAGAGCATCGCTCACTGCTGGTACGAGGAGGGCACGGGGTGAGCGCTGTCAGTTACGGGTTTGCCACGAGAGGGCGGACAGACACACTCACACATGTGCGACAAGARCGCAGGCGGACACACACGTGTGACAACAGAGCAGACAGACACGTGTGACAGGAGGGCAGGCAGACATTCATGTGTGTGTGACGAAAGGGCAGCAGACACATAAGTGTGCGACGAGGGTAGACAGACACACATGGTGACAAGAGGGCAGGCTAACACTCACCCACATGTGTGACAGAGGGAATGCAGACACTCACATGTGTGTGACAAAAGGACAGGCAGACACACACACGTGTGCACACACTCATCCACATGTCTTCACTCAGACACACACACCCCTCACTGTGCTCACTCAAGTGCTTCTCACCAAAACCAAAGTCACACACGTACAGACAGCTCAGTTCCTCACATTGCTACTCCTCAAAATTGAAACGAAAAAAATGTAACCTGCAGAACCAACCTAAATCCAAAGATCAGAAAAGACTTTACCCTCTCCCSTTTTGTCTCTTTGTTTATTCTTTTTCCCAGATTCAGAAATACAGATCTTAGTGACACTTACTCAGTATGCAGATATGCAGAATGTAAACATCACCACACAGCACCCAGCACCCTTTTTGATTAACAAAGTCACCAACATATTTGCCATGCAAGCACAGGGATTTTTCAAGATGTTGAGATTGCAGAAGTCTTCAAAACTTTTCGAGTTTACTTTTGCTAATGAYCTGGCTTGGAAAGAATGGAGAAAAAAACCTACACAGACAGGGCTGAGGTAGATTTGGCCTTATCTGATGTAATGTCACAGTATTGAGCAGGAAAACAAACGGGATCCCAAACTAACAGGCAGATCACTACAATATAAGGAAACAGGATTTAGGGAGAAGATTCCCCCATTCCAGCAGAAGGAGGGCCCATCCTGCAGTCATATTGCTACAGACAATGGAAAGAATTGTCACTACAGTGCTAATGACCCTACACTTTGGCCCACTGGGACTGYACATKGGAGGCTCGATGTTATTGAGGGACMGCGGGTGCTTGGTCTCTTGCTAAAATGGTCAGGAAAAGGAGGAATGAGGGGCTGTGATCTTTCCTGTATAGGTAGCTGCCTGTTACACACTGGGCTGGACACACCAGAACTTTTCTATGTTGGCCAACAGTGGACCAGCAGCTTTCTTCCGTGCTGTGATATTAGTCACAGGAATGTTTCAGAAAGAAACTGTTAAGACAATTCATCTTCTATCCTCTCTCTTGTCAAGTGGATTGAGGGGAGCCTTCCACGTGGACAAATGCGTGCACACAAGCATCCTGCTGTCTGCTACAAATCCACCCATACAGCCTGAAGTGCCTGATTCCTGACCTCTGCGCATATCAATAACGATTACAGCCAACAAGAGATCTCTGCACCATTTTACCCTCTCTTGCTTTTAGTGGGCTGCTGTGGCTCTCTAAGTACAGCCTCCTGCCTTAAGAGAAAGCACTTTCCATTAATACTGACGGTCCCTACCTGCCTCCTTGGATCTGTAAGATGAACAGCCCTCTCCTCCCTCCTGTCTTTTCTGAAACTTCACAGCACTGAAACTCACATGGTTTTGAACCGGTGCAATAGCACTGGATGATTTCCATTTCCTCCTTTCCTGGGATCTCTGCTCCCGGGACCTAATTACTATTCTAATATTATCATTCACAGCCTACTCTGCCTCTCACTCACYGACATCCGGATGAGATACCGCAGTGCTGCTGGGGACAAACCCTGTCCTGCTCCCCTGGACACTCGGGGTGCCACAGGGCTGTGCAGAGCACAGTCACTCTGGTCAGCCATGGGCAGTGAGAGCCTGCTCTGTCCTCTGCCTCTAGGTCCGGGTTTTTGGGGGAGAATGTGTCAGTGCTGGGGAGTATAAGGGCTTGGCAGAAGCAGCTGAGCCACTGCTTATAATGCAAATCTGCCTTGGGCTCTGCTTTGCTTCCCAAGCTGTGACAGCCTCTGTCTGCAGCACAGGCTGCCGAGCAAGCAGCCTTCCCACAAAACCCTCACCCAASATTGACCCTGTATTTCCCTGTTTGCAGCCTCCACCATCGAACCAGGAGGAATAGACACAGATGGATAAGAGCATGCAAGTCCCCAGGGGCAGGGGTGGAGGGACACTGCAGCATCAGGGATGTGGAATTTCAGAAGGGTTAACCCCTTCATGGCCTGCTTGCCACTTTCAGGGCAGGGCTGACATTTTCTCCACCTCACGAGCAAGCCTGCTTATTCACCTGGCCTAGTGCAGGTGGCACCGGAACTGAGGTACTCCCACGACCTGTGGGAAGAGATGGCTGGGAGGAGCATTCCAGTGTCTCAGAAGGGCTGTTCCAGGTGGCTGTGACTGGCATGTTCTGCAGCTTCACAGTAAATCTCCACTTGGCCATGGCTGGCATTGCCAGTGTTCTGGCACAAAGSAGGTCACCCATGCAGAGGCAAACTAAATGGAAGTGCTCCCTGTGCCAGTGGAAAGAAGGGTKCAGATCCAGCATGGCCTTCTTGGCACAGGCAGGGAATTAGCCAGATGAGACACAAGCCATTTTTGCACAAAGCAATTGAGATTTGACTGCACATCCTTTCTTAGCTAGAGTCTTGTGGAAAGCAGTTTGTGCCCCACAGYCTTGGGCTCCAAATGCAGTTGAAGAGTGAGTTCTTCACTGCTGCCCAGCGCAGACCTGGGAAGTGAGTTACGCTACTTCGGCAGAACACAGGGCTGTGCTYACAAAGACGGGGGAACACTGGGGTCCAAAATAAAGGATCTCCTCCAAAAGGACTTGGGATTCTGACACTGCTCTGTTGGTGCTGAAAGCAGCCAGGAGAGCAGAACCAGTGCCTTGAACAGAGAGGGCACTGTGGTTCAGAGCTAYGCAGAAGGCTGCCCAGCACTAGTCCCACTTTCTGCAAACTCACCCTGCCTGCAACACCCAGCCAATGGGAACTTTTTGTAATTTCCAGAATAAGGATTTCTGTCTGGGCCTAGGTGGCAAACATACTCTAATTGACAACAACTTTTAACAGCAGAACATCATACCCCATCTTAGGATAACTGACAAATGCCTCTGGCTCTGAGACCCACAGGGAAATTATTAGTGAGCTACATTTCCTGCAGAGATACATTCTAAAACACAAGTCAAGGAGAAATAATGT